CCCCCAAATTCTTTCTGTCTCTCTAACTCTCTCCGTTACTTCTTTCTGGGTACTGCCTCTCAAATCTATATTCCATTTATTACTCTTCTTTCTAGGAATGTTATGATATGAAACAGACAGTAAACTTGTCACCTCATAAAAGCTTTCGAAACTTTTTAGCTGAAAACTATTCAATTCAATTGCTCACATCTGACCAGATCCAACAGATGTCAGAGCAAACCAACTTTTTTTTGTTATTTCTTGCTTAGCTCTGTCACCTCGAACGAATCCATCTCAATGATAAATTTTTTCATAACTTGTATTTGCAAAAGGTTCTGAGCTTCTCTCTCAACAAGACGATTCTCTAAGATTTCATTAACTTAGGCATAAAATAACGGAACATCTGTCGATAATCTCTTGCAGATCGACCTGCTCATCTCCTTTTGTCCCAAAATGTAATTGTTATGACCTTTTTAAAGCCGAATACTGTTCATTCTTGAAACTTTTTGCTGAAAAATTAGATTAATCTCCATCCTGCTGTGATCTTTTCATGTAAATCAACCAGCTTCTCCTCCAATTACAGCTGAACATCCACTTGAGCAATAAGCCTCTCACATTTTGACCTCTCATTAGCTTTGAAGCTTGAAATCTCTTTCAGAATGATCCTAATGCTATATCGTATTTCCAACATTTTTAAAAATAAAAAAAAAACAATTTCATCCATTATTCTCGTAATTCCTCATTGAAAAACTGACAAGTACAATGGAACAGATGACACATTGCTATCAATCCACTTACCAATAGTTCTTTCAATAACATCTATCATTAACCAATTAAGAAGTTCTTCAAGAATATCTGAGGTCAATACTTCCTTCCTCCTACCTCCGCCCTTCTATCCATTTCCTCCTGATACTTGTTGTACCCTCCCTTACCAGCTCCTCCTTCTCATAGTTTTTAGTCACTTTCTTCCTCCTAGCAAATCGCTTGACCTTCGTTTTCTTTATATTATTACAAAAATATTATTTTCACAAAAATCTCACTGATTTACGAAAGAAGACCTTTCAGTTGATCCCTAGCGTTTTCGTTCTTCATGTGACTCATAACCCCACTGTCCCTTTCTTACACCTCGTTTTTTCTTTTGCCAAAAACCTCAATCCAACTTCCCGCCTTATACTTATTTTAAAAATAATTCACGTTCTAATTTCTTCAAGATTTTTATAGATCTCATCTTCTTATTCAAACACTCTGCTCGTTACCTCACGATCTTGCAGGTGCTAGTTCTCTTAGCCGTTTTTGCTCCATTTCGCTCTCTCTCTCTCTCTCTCTCTCTCTCTCTCTCTCTCTCTCTCTCTCTC